TGAACCTGGGAGGCGGAGCTTGCAGGGAGCTGAGATAGCGCCACGGCACTCCAGCCTGGGCGATAGAGTGAGACTCCATCTCAAAAAAAAAAATAAAAATAAAAATAAAATAAAAAATAAAATAGAAAATGTATCGGAAAATACAGAAAAAATATAAAACTGTCTTCTAGTGTTTTTCTGTGGCTACTGAAAAAACAGAATTGGGATGATTTTGTATGGTGTTATGTTTTACTTTCTTCCTTCCCTCATGTATTGATCACTTCACTCACTTACAAGTTCCTAATATGTGCCAGAGATGGTGCTGGCTACTGGGGTAACAATAATAAATCAAAACAATAACACAAAAATTACAGCTTACATTTATGGAGTGCTTACTGTATGCCAGGAACCGTGCTAAGGCTTTTTTTATTTTTTGAGATGGAGTTTCACTTGTCGCTCAGGCTGGAGTGCAATGGTACGATCTCGGCTCATTGCAATCTTTCTCTCCCGGGTAGCTAGGATTATAGGCGCACACCACCATGCCCAGCTAATTTTTGTATTTTAGTAGAGATGCGGTTTCACCATGTTGGCCAGGCTGGTCTCAAACCCCTGACCTCAGGTGATCCACCCACCTCGGCCTCCCAAAGTGTTGGGATTTACAGGCATGAGCCACCGTGCCCGGCCCAAGACTTTTTATTCAACACCTCATTTTATCCTTATGCACTGAATGCCATATTGGTTTCTTTTTTTTTTTTTTTCCTCTCTCTTACTCAAAGCATTGTTATTAAATCAATGATGAGGCTTACTTTCAACATTATTGCAAGTCATTTCTTTCAATAACAGGTTACATGATCGTAGTTGAAACAAAAACAGAGATACTAAAACAATAAGAGAGCAGCAGAAATATTCTGATGCAAATGTATTTGATGATTTTATTTCCTTCACTCTGGAATATACCACAGAATGTACTATTATTGATGTGCTTGCCTACGCCTAATCCAGAATATAATTACCCTGAACTCTACATGGTATTTTAGTCTAGAAAGTACTGTAGCTTGTCTGAGTTCTAAATCAAACCAGGAAACAGCAGAGGGAGCTGGTGCTGTGTTTTTGCAAGTGAGATGTGTGCTCATTTCAAGGGTCCATAAAATTTTTTGGCATGCTGTTTCCATGGAGAGGAAAGTAGGTGTTTTTTTCTTTTTTTTTTTTTTGTTTTGTTTTAATCAAGCCACCTGCAAACTGCAATGTGTTCTTTTAGTGATTTCTTTTTATATCTATGTTTTCCAGGAAGGTGCTGTTGAGCCTACGCAGTCACTTAGAAACAAGAAATATTTGAGAAATTTCTATGAAGTCAAATATGTATTATGTCTCCCACTCTCCAAAATATAACAAAACAGCTAAACACCCTGGAATGGAATGACTTACTCTGTTCTTGAACCATATGAGCACCTACTATTTGTTGATTCCACGTTAAACCAACAAAAAGATATTGAGCTGGCTTATGTTCAATGTATGTATTGAACACTATTTTGCACATATCAAATGTTTGAAACTGAAGCTTGAAAAGTCAGTAAACTCCACGAGGGGTCTCTACATAAATTTTTTTTCTTTTTTGAGACGGAGTGTCACTCTGTCGCCCAGGCTGGAGTTCAGTGGTGCAATCCTGGCTCACTGCAAACTCCGCCTCCCAGGTTCATGCCATTCTACTGCCTCAGCCTCCCGAGTAGCTGGGACTACAGGCGC